GATTGAAGAGACACTTCCAACGCATCCGACGGAATCGGAACCGTTGAAGTCGGAGTCCGTTGGTTTGGAGCTCGGGTCCATGTTTGATTTGCCAAGTTCTTGTTTCCTCGAGTTGTCGTGTTGGGTTCCAAGCTGTTCCAAGCGTTTGACAGATGAAGTTTGAAGGGGGGCCTACTGTCCTTTGCGACGAATACGACGAACGTTCCATCCAACATCAACGCCCTTCGTTCCGACCTGTGTGGAATCACCGTTGTCCTGCGATCGCTCGAACGCAGGTGTGGACCCCTCCGTGCTGGATGTACATGGGCGCTCCTGCTTGGACGCGCGGCCCGCGGACGCGCCGCACGCGTCGATTCTCGATGGAACGGACGGGGTTGGAACTGGACGTCGATCGGTGGTGAACTGAGTAGTTTCGACATGTCTACACGGTCATAAGAAGTGACATGTGCACAACTGAGGTCGTTTCGAGAGGTGGTGGGAACCTTTGAGTAGCCAAAACCGCGTGCTGCGACGGTGACTTCTGGTCAGAACAAGCTTTCACATGTTGGACTTCGGAATCTTTGCGGTGTTTGCCTTCGATGTTCTGGTACGTCAAGAAGTTGGCTCTTTGATGCTCTTTTGGTGCCATGTGGATGAATGTGGATGATTTACAGTAAAATGGAGGAACAGAAGAGGCCTTGACATGGGCAGTTGCAGAACTCAAGAAAAGATTCACCGTGAAGAACAGCTTGATCCCAGAGCAGAACCCCGACCCTTTGGAGGCAGTTCTTTGTGGAGCTGGGAATTGTTTTAAAAGAAATACAAGCACCACATGAGCACCACCACCACCACCTTCTCTCATCAAGCTCTATAGTTGGTGAGAAAGGAGAGAGCAAGCATATGGAGACCCTAGAAGTCCACTTCGACTGTATTTTGACCGGCTGAAGTAAAGGAAGTTCCCTTTCAGGTCCCCTAGTCGGACCATTCTTTTTGTAGTCTTTGACTCCCAGGGGAGAGTTTCTTTTTTCAAGCAGAGCTGAACCCACAAGTAAGATCCTACTCGATCGGCGGATGGAACAATGCATTCCCATCACGGCGGGAACAGAAACCAATGGACTCCCCTTTAATATGTTGTCCCGCTTCCCTGTGGGAGTCCTCCGTTGATTTCTCACGAAAGGACATTGAACGGTGAAACGTTTATGCAATTGGCAATTGCACAAACCTGCACAAACCATGCGTACACAATTTCAACATATGTCAAAAGTCATTTCAATATAACCTATGAACCACATCACAGCGATGGATTTTCTTCCCCAAACAGTAACACTGTGGCCAAACTAGGGGTACTAGGGGTCTTCCGGCTATTTCGCTCCTATTTACCGTACATTCAATGCATTCACCTCGAGATCTTTGAAGTGCATTTCGACGGCGCAGGTCCGCCGAATCTGCTGGGCGCGAGTGCTTTCCTCGACTGCGCTCTCGTTTTGGTACCGTGCATTTTCGGACTTGGTGGTCACTGGCCGTAGCAGGCGCAAGGGAAACCTTGTGCTTTTTGATTTTGGTGGTCCAAAGCCGGCTTTTCGTGGCAGGTGCAGTGAATCCTGACCTTTTGTTATCTTGATGTTGTCTCTCGATGTCTTTGGAAGTGCTCTTGCTGCGAAACGCCTTGGCAGGGCTGCGCACTGTGAATCTTGATTGATGTGCAGGTTTTGTGGCAGGCACAGCGTTTTTGGACCTTGATGTGCAGATTTCCTAGCAGGCGCAGCATTTTGTGGACCTTGAAGGGCAGGTTTCATGGCGTGGGCAGCACTTAAGCCTCTTGTGGACCTTGACTTGGCGCGTGCTGCAGATGAAGCGTCACGGACGGTAACCCGGTTGCCAGATTGGCCACCGACTCCCCGATTGCCTGGGCGGTTCATGGTGACACTGACTCTTTGCTTGAGCAGTGGTCGCATGTCTTCGTGGATGCAATGTGCATCCACATCAAGGGGGAGTGTCAGGTGACAGTGAGTGTTCCCCTCTTTTTGGCAGTCATGCTGCTTGGGGGCAGCCGCCGGAGCCGTCGCGCGGCGCTCACAGCTTGTTCTTCTGCCGGTTGGTAAGCGGCATGTAATCCGTGCAATTGGTGGCCCTGCTTGGGTTGAGGCAGAGTGGGACAAGATGCACCGTGGGTTCCATGGCCTGTTTGCAGATTGTCTTCACGACCCCGTGCAAAGAAGCTGCTGCTTGCAGTCGAACGCGTCTTGAAGAATTGACTGGTCGATGATGGACGCCGCCACACCACTCTAGATCTATAGATCTTAAGACCGACCTCTGGATTTCTAGACTTCTACATTCTCTATAGCACCTGATTTCAAGACCTCCCTGGTTCTCAAAATCTCGACCTTGTCGGCCTCCAGACACAGACATCCAGATCTCTCTCACCGTCTCAAAACCTCTACACGTCTGGATCTCTAAACTTCTGGATCTCCAAAACTCTACAACTCTAGATCTGGATTCAAGTCCAGATCTAAACCTCCAGGCCTTTAGATCTCTCTGGGTTTCTAAGCATTTAGATCTTTCTTGGCTTCTAGACTTTTGGGGATCTCAAGACCCATTTAAATGGGTCTCAAGAGCTTCTAAACCTCTCAATCTTTGCACCTCTACTTTTCTCTCTGGAACCCAATAAGTCTAGATCTTTAGACCTTCTGCTTCTACACCTCTGCACCTTAGACCTCTAGACATACGGTTTGGGTTCTCTTGCGGGCCAACAAAAATCCACCAACAGCCTTAGGAATGTCACTCATACGACTCATACTCAATATGATTGCTGTTAAAAAACACGAACGGGTTCTAACGGCAAATTGATATGAACCAAAGTATATAATTCAAGTAGAACAAATCAGCCTGGAAACTTCTTCTTAATCCATCCCATCCAACAATGCTGCCGGTATGAAATCATATTTTTCCATACCTTTTGCAACTTTTCCGCGTTCCAGGTCAATTCCTCCTCCCAACTGTTTAGGGTGCCCTTGTTTTGCGCGACCGACGGGCCGCAGGTGGCCGAGCAGGTGGCCAAGACGGGCCGCATGGCACGGCGCCTGCGGAGGCTGTTGGAGTCCAAACCCAGCAAAGACTTCGAGGCACGTGGCTCTCCGCGTGGCGCTGCAGAAAGGAATTCTCGGTCGAGACTGAACAGTTTTGAAGGTGAGTCCTTCAGGTAATCTTATAAATCGCTGCATTTCGGGCTGCAGATGTGCAATGAGTTTGGATTTTGTTGTTTTTCGTCAAGAAGAAGAGAAACGGAGAAAACACTGTTTATCACTGAACTGTTCATGTCCAAGACTTTGCTGTACCACAATGATTCCAAGGGCAATACTGCATTAAACCAGATGACATCCCACTGCTGAGCTGCATGGGTTTCCCGTTACACGACTGCCATCGACAGCGCCCAAAGAAGTTGCGTTTTTCCCACCAGAAGAGGTTTGAACGCAGTCGTCCGTCAAAAATCTATAGCCATCCCGTTTCTTCAAGCGCCAGAGGACTGAAAAAACCACAGACGAGTGTTCCAAAGACAAAGACCATCACTGACGTTCAGACGTGGTTTTCGAGGATTGTTTTTCCCAAAAGCATCTTCGATGCTTGGGTTCTCGTTTAGTCGCTAGCGCCGCAGAAGAGCGAGACAAAGCATGCGTTGTTGTGGACGGAAGATGGATGTGGAGGTGGACGGGGTTGGGAAGGGAAGAGGGAGGGGAAGGAAGGGAGGGGAGCGAGACGGGAGGCGCATGGGTGGGGGGGAGCGAGACGGGAGGCGCATGGTGGGGTGGGGACGGGGCTGGGGAGGGAAGAGGGAGGGGAGCGAGACGGGAGGACGGGGCTGGGCTGGGAAGATGGAGGGGAGCGAGACGGGACGTGCGTGGGTGGGGGGCTGGGGGAAGATGGAGGGGAGCGAGACGGGAGGCGCATGGTCGGGGACGGGGCTGGGGAGGCTGGGGAGGACGGGGGAAGATGGAGGGGAGCGAGACGGGAGGCATGGGTGGGGACGGGCTGGGAGGGAAGATGGAGGGAAGCGAGACAGGAGGCGCATGGGTGGGGACGGGGTTGGGGAGGGAAGATGCAATCCCGCCCGCCTGCGTTCTTCAGTGGGCAGGGCTGTGAGTCTGAGACGCTGAAAGTATTGTTGGAAGATGTGGTGCTGATTTGCAAGACAGAGGTAGTTCCTGCACCAGAGCAGCCTGACAAGCAAACCGACACTGCCCCTGCGTGGGCATTGTTCTCCATCCCTGCTTCCAATCCTCTGTTGCGCCTCGACCGATACATGTCACTATATTCAGTTAGATGCATTGGGCCAGGAGCCTGGCCATTTCACTATTTACTTTGTATGTTACTTTGAAAGACACGGCTAGGATATAGAAAGTCAATGACATCATCAGCAAGAACTTGCTGAAGAAGCAGGATATTTTGGAAGCAGACCTTCTCGTGCATGAAAGCTCTACATTTGCCTTCCTTTCCTTTTTCTTGAGCAAAGGCAAAGGCACAGAGGCCGGAAATCAATCAAAGGGAATTTGTACCACAAAGTTCTGTTCGGCAGGTCACGCTGGCAGAGCACGAGCTTGGCCTCCACACGCCTTTGCGCTACGTGCTGGAAGATGCATCGCCCCTTTGTGATTTCTTTTGTCATGTCGGCCCACTAGAGGCTCCTCTGGAGTTTGGTCCTGGTCAGGGTTTTGGACATGACTTTGTACTTTTGATTGGCATGGTTGAGAAGGAGTCTCGGTCCACGTGCTGATCATGGCGACCAATGCCTTGGCATCTCGATCTGGATGAGCAGCGCGAATCGACGCGAAACGATGCCTACCTCGCCAGGATCAATTCTGAAATCGCAGCAGAAGTGAAGCAGCATTTGGAATCGTTGCAAGAGCTCGCTTCTTCTTTCAAGCGGAAAGCATGTGGAAGCGCGCAGTGTTGAGCTTTTGGAGCGCAACGCCCTGACACTGTGAGGCCGCAGGCACCAATGCCATTCGCGGTGCAGCGGCCACGCCCTCAGAGGGTGTGTTGTTGGATTTTAGTATGTTTGGCCTCTTGCATTGTGGCCGGCAAGCCAGACGAAAAGGCGCCAGCAGCAAGATAGGGGGGTCTACGCAAAGAGCCAGTTGAAAGCCGACTTGACTTGAAGCTGATCCAAATCCACCTTCCAAGGCTGCCTCCTTCCTTGTTGAGAACACCCAGCACATCTGGGACTGTTTTTTTTGGCATCGTTTCGTTTGCAAGCCTGAATGAGCCGACCATTAGATCCAATAGGTTTGTCAGCAGTCTTGGTTTTGTCAGCAGGGTAGTCCAATAGGCAGTATTCGAGCGGGAGAATTAAAAGCCGCAGCTCAATGACAATGAGGCTGTAGATTGCGTTTCCAGCAGCGAGATTGACCAAACTTTGTGTTCTACAAGTCTATGATTCTAAGCGCTCCTGCCCTCCGCCCTTCTGTCCTAATTTTGTCGCTCAAACAATTTTGAGGACGGGTAGGCAGGGCTGCGGGAACAGAAAGTTTGAGTGGCATGTGTCCGGGCTACCTTGGTTGACATTCAATCCGCCGTGCCGCGGATCCAGACAGGTGTCCGGAATGTCTCTTGATTAGTATTTGCCTGGGTGGCTGGCGGACGCCTTCATTTCAACACCTGTTCATGTCCTTCAGGAAACTTTTTGTGCCGCAGTGCCAACACATTCTGCGAAAGGCGCCGGAAGCAAATCAACTCAAGCCAAGCAGAGTCAGATATCTTCATGTCTTGCGCGTTATGCAGGGCCTGGCATCGAGCAGAACTCCGCCCATGCCCTTGCACTACAAAGTGAAGAGGCCAATTGCCAATAGTTCAGTTGATAGCTTTCCAGCAGCAGTCCAGTCAGCGTCTTCGCAGGAATGTTTCGCATCCTGAGCACCAGGCTCCGAGCTAAGATGTCCTTATTCAACTGGACCATAAATGAAGCGTTTGTCTTCCTGTTTTGGTTAGTGTAGCAGAGGTTTTCAACCGCAATGTGCACGTGATAGCTCATGCGTTCTAACCGTATACCGTCCATGCACGCCCAGGTTCGCACTCGCTTCTTTGATCCCGGCCAGCCAGCATTGGGGCCAAGCTGTGACGGTTCCCACACGTTCTAGGTGCCAGTGATTATTGAGAGTTGCAAGACTTGGTGCTGTCAGGCACGCTTTCCGGAGCACTCACCAAAACTGTTCGCTGTGGTATTGGTTGTAGCAAATAGTCCTAGCAGGAGACATCTGAAAATTGCTTCCCTACGAAAGTTTCAGGCCGCCTCCGACTCCTGTGCCTGGTCTTGTCACGCCGCGGGTGATGTGTGCGTTGGCAGGAGGTGGCTTGTTGTTTGTGAGAGTATCGGCCATTTGGAACAGTTTCCCGACTCCAATGCCAGAAATGCTCATTCGCCGTGTGAGTTTCAGAAGGCGACTGGGGGACACACTATTTGCTGCAGCTAGGCCAGCTCCAACGATATGTGACATATAAGTCAAAAGCTCTTTTTGTGGTCTGTTGCGGGGAATCTGCTCGACCCTTTCGAACGGACTGACCTGCCCTGGGCCGGCTGTCCGATAGAGGGGGTTGGGCAGACCCCTGTAAAAGACAGGTTCTTCAATGCTTTTTGCAGAGCTTTGCTGCCATATTCCGTCCGTTAGGATGCTTTGCTTCGTACCCTATACAGCGGGCCGGCCGTGCGTTGGAGGGGGTCCAGCAGACCCTCCATAGAAGACAGCCCGGCAGGTATTTTGAGCTCTTCTGGTGGCAGCCTTGGTTTCTCCAGTTTTGCAGCTCAATGCAGCTCACATCAGCTGGCATCGCATACACAAAAAACCTTTTTCATTCATTTTGCATATTGAGTTTCAAGCTGACGTCTGCTGTGTTCCCCAAACATGGACCGCTGCAAGAACCGACAGCGGCTTCCTCCAGGCCAGCCATCCATCGTTCGAGTTTCCGGAGATTGCGCAGGGTACGGCAGCGTTCTGCAAACGTTGTCCCATTTGGGGGTTAGCCTTGGAGCATTTGGGGGTAGCCTCGGAGAATGTGACCCAAGTGAAGAGCGTTGTTCTCGCGGGTGTGTACCTTTTTGGGCAAGCCAATTTCAGATGAAGACATTTTGACCGACTGCCGCAAGAGACAAGTAGCTAAAGGCATTGATGTGCACCTGCACGGGTGGCTACCCTTGCCAAGCATACACTCCTGCTGGCAAGCGTATGGGGTGCAATGACGAGAGGGGCCAAATTTGGTTTGAGGGTTTGGACAAGATCACAGCCATGCAGCCACGGCTGTTGCTGCTAGAAAATGTAGCTGACTTGGCACGGACTGCTGACTTCAAGCCTCTGTGGCAGCATGCGCTTGATGTTCTGACATCGGCTGGTTATCACACTTCTTGGCGTGTAGTCACCAGTGCTGAACATGGGCTGCCTCAAAGCCGCGAGCGGGTCTACCTCATCGCAGCCCGCACGGACCAGCCAATGCCATTGCCTCAAAATGCTTTGCAGTCCGCTGCTTGTTGGATTTTCTGCTACCAAGGCGCCGTGGCCTCGATTGGGGTTGGCTACAGCCTCTAGATGTTGTCTCCGTGCGACATTTATTGAAAATGGGTATTTGTGGCGGTGAGTCCCACCCAACAAGCCAGACCTGGCGCAGAAACTTCAAGCAGGCCGGGCACGGTGTCAGATGGAACTGCTTGCTGTCACACACTGCATCAGGTCAAGAAAACCGCAGACAAGAGAGGCTGGGATTTGGAATGCAAAGATCAAGCGGTGATTGCTGACATGGGTGGCTCAAACTTGAACATGAAATTGGACAGCTTCCCTACCATTACAGCGCGAAAGACTGCGCATATTGGATCCCAGCGCTACACAGACGGCCAGATGTTCAAGAATTCGCTCGGTGCCAAGGCTCGGCTGTCGGATTTCAATTCTTGCCCGAAGACCTTGCTAGACGTGACAGATGTAGATGACAAACTTTTCGCAGACATGCAGCAGACGCGACTCCCTGCCAGTGCCCTTGGGCATGCTACCGGAAATGCCATGTCCATCAGTGTGGTCGAACGCATCGTGGCCCGGCGCCGCCGGCCTGCTGAAGTGAACTTATTAATTATGATTGTTTGCAAGGCTTGTTTTGTTCGCCAGGCTCCTCTTTGCAGCAGGCCTATACTTGATGATATGCCAGTTGATCGGTGGGCGGCAGTGTATATATATAATACATCCAACCTCCAACCCGACCAAAAAGGGAACCGTCTTGTTTTCTTCTTATTGGGTCTGTGCAGTTCTTAAGATCGAAGCCCGCAAAGGTTTGTTCGAGAAAAACAAACGACAAATCCTCTCCTCCTGGGATATTTCAGCCATATCGACGCCCTGATCATGCCAACGATGCACACCACCGGAAATCTGTGCCAAAAAATTAGACGACGAATGACCCGAAAGCATTTTACCGCGTGTGATGCACTGTAGCGCTGGCACAGCAGTACACATGCGCGTGCTTTTCCCAAAAGAATCTCCGAGAGCGAGACGAGGCAAGCATTTTCGTGGACGGGGTTATGGATGAAGATGGGAGGGTGGACGGGCGTGGACGGGGCTCTGGAAGGAAGATGGATGCTAAGTAGAACGAAGCATGGGGGGGCTAATGCTACTCCATGCCTTGCGGAAGAACGTTATTGCGCGAGTGGAACTGTGTGGCGCGGCCTATATGACGCTCTTGGGTGTCCAGAATGTGTGCAATGTATGCCGAAGACAGCTCAAGTCATTGAGAAACGGCAGGATGGTTGCATGCCAGAACCGCAATGCTTCAAATTTCATGGTTGGAACGAAGCATGGAGGGAGCTGATGCTGCTCCACGTTTCCTGGAAGGGTTGTTAGAAGCCATGTTGCAAGGGTTGGAGGGCTTTCAAAACTTGCCACGGGGTGGACGGGGTGTATATGGCAGATGGAGGTGGACGGATGCGCACCAGAACCGCGATGCTTGAAATATCATGGTTGCCACGAAGCCTGGAGGGGGCTGATGCTTCGTTTTGGCTTGCTAGTGTGCGTTTGTCTATTTTTCTCTGGTTGCGCGCTTCTTTTTGCTTTTGGGTCCGCGGGCTCTCACCTTGTGTTTTTTCTTGGTTTTTTGGTGATTTTGTATCTATCGATCCCTCAGGGCTGGCTCGAGTTCCCCCAAACCTGAGCAGGGTCTCTGAGAAATGAAAATTTCACCTCAATTTCCTCCAAGAAACATAGTTCAGCTTTCTTCTCCCTCCGCTTCGTGCCCGATTCCTTCCAGTCCACCTTCTCCGCCGCCCACCCCGGCCAAAACCACCCTCCTACGCCAAACCGCCCAGCAGATCGATCTCGGGACGTCCGCCACGTCCGCCTGACCGGGTCCGGTCCACCCTGCTGCCAGATGGGGAAGATCCTGGTCCGCCGGAGCGGAGCCGAGGAGCCGACGGGCAGGGCGAGACTCACCCGCACAACGCTCGAGCAAGCGCGTGGTGGTTCGAAAAAGGGACCCGAAGCCCCAAATAGGTCGTGACGTTTGTGTGGAGTGACTGATCTATAAACACTGGGGGTGTGTTGGGTTAGAGGGGATGCCTCATCCACAGTCATCCAGTTGAATTCAGTGGTTTTCTTGCTTTGAGACTTAAGCAAAGGACAACTTGGCCCTGCTAAGTGGGGATTCTTCAGTGGTTCTGTGTGTTTCGACCACGTCTAGAGGACCTGAGAAGTTGAACTGGACGTCGCAAGCGGGGAGGATTTTGTCACATGGGGCAATGCACAAACAATTCGTCCGGGATGGACGTACGTAAGGTCTGGAGTCTGGGGAAGCAAATAGGACGTGCATTCAATCAACTGAGAAAACATGAGCGTCGACTGTCGACGCAAGTGTCTTTTCAAGCGATGAAACTTGTTTTTTTGTCGATTTAGAAGCTGATCCCCTGTCAGATGTTGTGGAAGTTTGTGGATTTCTGCTACTTTGGGGTGTTACCTGTGCAAATTTCCTGCCAGGAAGCCGAGCACTTTGCCAAGAGGGTGTGGAAGCCTGGGTTTGATGAAGACAAGAGGGCGCCTGGTCCAGGGCCGTTGGTTCAGGTTTTGAATAATAGGATTTTGTGCTTCACTAGCATGGTCCAGGACTTCAACACCACCTCAAACCTTTCGAACTCTGGCTACCTATTGCATGCAATGTATAGCCTGGTTGAAGGACTTTACAGCTCTGGACTTTGCAATTGAAGTGGCCAGGGCTGTTTAGTGCGGTGAAGAAATGGTCTTGTCAAACATGTTTAACATACCATCAACCAAACCAACATAGCATCCACCTTCTGGAAAGAAATCACGCTCACATCATGGTTTTGTGATTAAATGCAGGGGAATATGTCCTTCTAAAGATTCTATATGATTCTAAAAAGTCATTTCCTGAATGCGGCCAGCACGAGAATGCGGCTGGGGAATATGTCCTTCTAAAATGTAATTTCCTTGATGCGGGCCAAAAGTGCTGCTGTCAACCCAGGAACCACATCCATGACAGTTGATGGTAAGGTGTGGCCCACTACCAGCAACGGTCGGTAAAAGATTATCAGAATCACTGCTTTTGAGAAAGGCCTTGCTAAACCATACGAGACCATGATCATGCACCGGGCCCTGCTTAGATGAGATACCCCAAGATGGGCGGTGCTCTCAGCATCATCATGAATCTCGAACGTCTCCCCCTTACCTAGCAAGCAGCTTGGACGGCCGATCCAAATCATTCTTTCTTCGCGACGCAGGGAGTGTCTCCGCACTTGCGAAATGTGAACATACACTGAATAAAAGAAAACACATGAAAGCAGGCAGATTTCAACAAATATAGTAAAAAGAAGGCATTGACAGTTAAGTTATTGTTGCTTTTATTTCCGCCCTCAACAAAAGTCTAGGGTTAGATAAATCTCCAACCAAATTATATTGGTCGATATTATATTTTATTGTAAATATCGAATTAATATTGATTAGTACATGTATTGGTTTGAAACTTGTTCATTCACCAACCGGAATTTGATTCACTTGGTCGCGTCGGCTTCAGGCCAAGCGCATGGCCCCGGCCATCTTCTGGCTTTGTTGTGCAACTTGACCGCTTTCATGTCGAGTCAAAACGATATCCATGTTTTTTTGGATGGATTGGTTCCCTTTTCCCTTTCCATTGCATTCTGTTTTTTGAGTTGTTTACATGTGTTTAAAGGGTACTACTTGAGATGTTCCCCCCGCCAGTAACAGTTCAAAAATTGTTTTGCTACATATCAGCTAACCAAAATGAGCACCAGGAAAATGCCTCCAAATCACTTATGGGTTTTCCATCAGGTGTCATACAAAAGTTCTATTTGACCTAGAGTAAGAGGCCCTGAAGTTCAGTGGGTGGTGGGATGAAGGGTATTTGGTTGTTGCTGTGGTGTGGAACCTGTTTGTTTGGACATTGAATACCTAACCATTGAAGCAAACACTTGTGGCCCAAGTACCTTGGCAACGTAACTGCATACCTCTCCCAAGCAAAATTTTCAGCAAACCCTTGTTTGCTTCTCAGCCCACCCCAACATTCCAGAACCCTTGAGGAGCAGGTGCAATGTCCATAGATTGTTTGTGGTTTGTGGGTTTGTGTGGAAATTTGGCTTTGTGGGTTGTTTGACTTGCTTTGTTATGGATGGTGTGTGGGGATGTTGTAGAGGCAGGACCTGTTGTTTAGCCCACCCTCTTTCCCCCTCTCTCCTTTGTTTAGCCCACCTGGGCATTGTAAAAAGGAGGGGGAGAGAGACAAAGGAGAGAGGAGGAAAGAGGGTGGGCTAAACGACAGGTCTTGCCTCTACAACATCCCCACACACCATCCATAACAAAGCAAGTCAAACAACACCATCAGCCAAATTTCCACAAACCACAAACAATCTATGGACATTGCACCTGCTCCCCAGGGGTTCTGGAATGTTGGGTGGGCTGAGAAGCAAGCAAGGGTTTGCTCAAAGTTGTGCTTGAGAGGGGTCTGAAATTATGTTGCCAAGGTACTGGGGCCACAAGTGTTTGCTTCAATGGTTAGGTCTTCAATGTCCAAACAAACAGGTTCCACACCACAGCAACAACCCACCCACCCACTGAACTTCAGGGCCTTTTGCTTCAGGTGAAGAAAAGAATGAATGAATCCTTGTTTGACTGGAGGACACCTTGTGGACAGACCAGAAATGATTTGGATACATTTTCGTGGTGTTCATTTTGGTTTCACCCTTGACATTTGCAAACGTGTTTGGACTGCTACGTGGGGGGGGGCATCTCAACATACGAGTTTACAGTTTACGGTATACAAATAGAAACGGAACATGGCAAAAGTAAGATGCAGTGTGTGAGCTGGAATGGGGACACTGTCAAGTCAAAGGTCTGAGCTGGAAGGACAAGGGCTAAATCAAAATCTGAGCGTGCTTATGATCATTTAGTGAGAACAGACCAGTTGAGACGAGATCATCTGTGTTTTCAAATCTGCGCCGCTCCCCTCTGTCATTTGTGGAGCAAGTTTTCCACTTTGACGCAATGCCGGAACAACTGGAGAAGAGCTGGAGAGCAAACAACTGGAGAAGAGCTGAAGAGCAAGCTTAGAACAAGGACCCCTTTTCTCTCCACGTTGACAGTCGAATGGATGGATTCAAGTGAGCGCAACCGTGGAAAGTTTTTGGAATTCAAGCTTAACGCAAGACTCCTCAAACTTCTGCGGGAATGTTGAGCACATCATCGATGGAACCAACCACATCCGATCAGTGCTGAAGGCAGCGTCTCATCTCACAAGTGGTGCGCATCTTGCCTACATGAAGACGCATGAAGGGCATTTGAAAACCATTCGCATCTACACCACTACCGTGCATTGCGTGAACATGATCCTTCGCAAGCTCCCGAGCCTGACGCCTCGCGCCAGGGCCGCTGCTTGAACAGATTCTTCTTGGCAACGCTTCAAGCAAGTCCTTTTTTGTTGACTGTTCCATTGTGCTGGGTAACAGTTGGTGCTTATTTCTGGAGTTCCAATTTTTAAACCCTATACTTTCCCAAGCTTCTTCACTCTGAGACTGTGAGGTTCAAGAAGGCGTACGAGAAAAACGGCGTGCCACCAATCAAGGCAGCTGTAGCCTGGATGAATGAGACATGCCAGGAGAAGTAGCTGAATCGTGTAAAGATTGCAGCTTTGCTTTTTGCCGTCCTTGATGGAGGACTTTTTCCAGAAAGATCCGATGCTAAATCAGACACCTAAGATGGTGCATTGGCAGCGCACGGAGGCTGCTGGAGGAAAACATGAATGGCGGAAAGCAATTAAGAGTGTATAAGCTTTTTTGATCACATGATAAGGCTTGCAGGGCTTATTTTCTGGTGCTAGTTTTGTGCTGTCCAGTTGTGGTCACTGTTACTGGGGAATATCCCAAGGTACTACATACCTTGGCAGGAAAACTCGTGTTAAACACAATAATCTTTCACAAGATGTAAATTTGGTATGACTTCCTCGTTTAACCAAACAATATATTGTCTCCCCAAACAGTGTGGTCACACTAGGGGTTCTCACGGTGTCTAATCGAGGTGTTGCGCGGTCGGGTCCGGCTAGTTCACTGCTTATTTACAGTACATTCATGCCTCTCGACTTGAAATCCTCGAAGTGCATTTCGACTGCGCAGGCTCGCAAAATCTGGGTGGCCGCGGCGGGTGCTCGTTGCGACTGCACTCTCGTTGTGGTGCCTTGCGCATTTTTGGGCACGGTGGCCACTTTTCGTGGCAGGCGCAAGGGAAACCTTGTGTTTTGCTGGTCCAAAGTCGACTTTTCGTGACAGGTGCAAGGGATTGGAGCGGTGTTACTTCGAAATGCAGATTCTGCAGCATCAGCGCCACCTGCTGCAATGGAAATGCACCTCGAAGAAAGTGAAGAAGATGAGGATTTAAGATTGGAGCCTGCCACTGGTGAGAGCAAGGCCAAAAAGCGCAGAACCTCTGGAGGAGCACCTCGCGTGAAGAAATCGCGTGAAGAACTCCTCGAAGAAGAAGCTGAGAAAGTCAGCGCAACGTACACCGAACTCCTTGCGACGATCTCAGATGGATCACAAGCGATGCTCAGCGCAAGCTTTGTTGGGAAACTTCAAAGGACGCAGAACAGCAAGTTGGCTGAGGCCAAATCTCAGGGCTACTTCAACTGGGTCAATCAGCTGCAGCAGCTTGGCACCAACTTTTCCCTGGTCAAGGAAGCTCTTAGCACAACGGCCCTGTACTTGCCTGGCTCACTCTTTCACCCACTCACTCACTCACTCACTCACCCACTTACTCGCCCACTCACTCACCCACTCACTCACTCACCCACTCACTCACTGGCTACTCCCTCACTCACTCTCACTCTCACTCTCACTCTGACTCTCACTCACACTCATCACCACCACCACCGCCACCACCACCACCATGACCACGATCTCCACCTTCATCACCACCATCACCTCTCTGGTAGATCTCTAGACTTCTGCTGCTACACCTCCATACCTCACACACACACGCACTGTTTGGGTTCTCTTGCCGGGATAAATTTATTGGATCATGGTTGTTCCTCGTTTGCGACGGATCCCTTCCTCATGCTGCTCTGTCCCCCCTTCGTCACCGAGGTCTCCATCGCGTGCTTTGAGCCCCTCGACGCACGGATGCGACGGAGGTGAGGAGCAGGAGCACGATCCTTAATACGGGGACTACGTACATTACATATATACCGTACATTGGAGCCTGAGTGACCCCTGTTTTGGAGGAACATGCAACTATGTAACATATGACCTTTTCCTCTCAAACGGGTGCAAAAATGGGCTCTAAACTCTAGGTATACTATGGTGTACTTATTCTTGGTATTAGTAGTACGTCTATCGTGTGTTTTTTTAATTTGGTAAGGGTTTTTACTTGTATTGTGGACCGAAGAAGGGTCACCATCAGTTGTGATAGTTGTGATCAGTGCTCTGTAGTGCTACTCAAGAACCACCTCAATCCTATTCACACTCAAACACTCGCAAGCACTCATGGATCTGACGTGTTTTTTTTCTGCACTTCCGCAAAGAAAAATGTGTGAATCCCAAAACATGCAGACAGTAGTCAATGTTCTGGCCTTGCTTTTGTGAGTTCCAGCAGAAACCGCAATCCACAATTCACCAATATTAATGACTTTAAATTTAGTCGACTCTTGAAACGCCACCTGTTTTGGTAAGCCGCACCCACTATCGGGTAAAACATGGCAAAACAAACAGCGGATGGAAGACATCGTGCACCACGTGAGAAACCGAAAACATGACCCTACCACAGCTGCACCTTGTGTTTGACCTTTGTTTGGTAAAACAAAGACCCGCTTGGATCCTCCAACAGTACTTCAACTGGTTTGGATCCTCCTTGAGGTACCTCACGGAGTTGCAGTCCTCAGCTTGGACCTTGACGCCCAACTTGGCTGTAGCACTTTGGCGAGATCGAGGTACGTCAGGTACACACGGACCGGCCCGGAAGATGGATCGAGAAACTGGAGGTTCTTTGCGATGTTTGACTCCCCAGCACCCTCTCCAGTGACTTCCAGAGTGGGATAAATAGCATAAACGACCCCCTAGCAAACAATCGAGGGAGTCTGAAAAGTAGCACCGCCACACAAATAATTGGTAGTAGTAGTAGCAGCAGCAGTAGTAGTAGTAGTAGCAGCAGCAGACAAATCAAGAGTTTTAAAAAACAGCCTGGGTTATTTTTTGTTGTTTACTCCGTCCCAGTAAACTATTCAGCGTGTGAATAATTTTGCAAATTGTTTTTATTACAGTATTCCGTCATTCCGTTCCATTATGTTCATTATGATGCGACATTATTGCCTTGGGCAAAATATGTTGATATAAACCTGGAGAAAGCGACCAGCGACTGCACATGGCCTTCTTATTTGTTAAGGGAACCAGTTGGGTTTTTGCATCTCGATTGATCTCCACCTCATGTTCTTTTCGTGGTCCAAGAGGCGGGTCTGGCGGTCCGGTACGTGTTCTCCCAAGCAGCCCAAGCACTCAATGAGACTGGAATAGATGTATGGGTCTATTTTAGTCAGTCCCACACTTATGGCCCTAAATCCGCCTATTGTTCTATTTTATACCCTAAGGATCCGCACCCTGAAAAGCAAGGATTTGGTTCGGGGCCCCAAACCCTTGTGAACTAGAGGGTTCGACCACGACCCTAAGGAGGGTCCGGACTCGGATCCTTAGGGTATGACTATACATTGGTCCCGAAACCGCCCCCGTACATTTCATTTCATTGATTCACCGCCTTCGTGTTCATGTCAAGAACACGGCGTAGCGCAGTACCACTGTTGCATACTGACACCCTGCTCAGTCTTTCGGGTAGACCGCCCCCGTACGAGTACATGTACCAGTCCCATTCGTGGTGTCTGGGATAGCGACCTGCACGACGACACGAGACCCAGTTCGGCTTCGGGTACCCCAGCTCTCGTTGAAGCCACTGGAGTCGACCGAAGGTCTCGTAGTGGCTCGGCGCAGGCGCAGTGGCTTCCCCTTTGCCCCTGTCCACATTGGGTGTGTGAGCTCCAAATATGGCAGGTCCGCCCTCGACCATCCCGACCGTCCCGGTCCCGTCCCGTGAACGGCGGATTTTCCTGGGTTCAGTGTGGACGGTGTGGAACAGAAGTAACCAGTATGAGACCAGCCAAGTGAGTTGCTGGAGGTCTTCCGGAGAAAAACACCTATATCCCAAAATGGCTCGGTCGTCTTCCCCCGGACTCGTCCACTTGTCACTGAGGCCTTCGAACTTGGAGTGCCTCTTTGTTTGCTCCTCTTCCTCTTAGCTGCGCAGAAGGACCCCGGGAAGGCACGCCGACCGTCCGTCCGCGGGTCGGTCCGCTGAGCGCAAGAAGACACGGTGGAACCAATCGGGCGATGCGGTTGGGGGTTCTGAGCCATCTCTTCCCATACTTGCTAAGCTGCGCTATGTTTAGCTGGATGCAGGGTCAATGTGGTGGGCAAAAACCGGGGCGCGAATGAAAACATATAGTAGATCATTGGGTTGTGGGTCGAAAAAGTACTGCAATCGAACATATATGTCTTGTAGAAACAAGGTTGACATCGCAAAATTAAAACATGTTCCTAGAGCTTGAGTGACCTCTATTTTGGACCACCAACCACCCAAAATATGTTGTTTTAATGTTGCTTGTCTATAAAAACAGTGGTCATGTTTGGGCTCATCCGGATGCTCCAGGGTTTCAAACACCGGCACGAGCCCTCTTGGCACAGGTACCTGCTCGCGTGAAGGGGAACTCCGCCGTGGAGGATCGGCGTTTCGTTGGACTCATCCAGGGACTTTCGGATGGACGAGGAACCTGAAAATGGATACATGGTGTTGCAGATGGATGATGACAGTACTCTCTAGAAAGGTCTTGGATTTGGACATCCGATGGAGTATTGGACATCTTCGGGATGCAGATGTTCGTTTTGGAGTTCAGCTTTTATGACTAGGATGCAGAAACTGCCAATGATTTGGTGCAAGACTCAGGTGGGATACCATTTCATATATGTATCATGCATAGGATCTTCGCAGTCGCCAGTCAAATGTGTAGCTCAGTCTTTCTACCAAGACGGGTCACCTGCTACATCTTCCTGGTCTAACATATTCCAAATGTTTGGAACTATGACACCTAGCTCTCACTCTCCAGGCGGTTTTTCTCCCATCTCCTCAGCTTGGCTCAAGAGAGCTTTCGACAGTGTATACCTGCATTCGGATTGCTAAGCAGATCGCTTGTCCATCATGGTCCTTAGCAGGCAATCGTTGATCAAATATGTATTGAAAGTTACGTGAAGGACTCGAAAAGGCGACCATTTGCTTCAGCAAGTAACTAAGTGGCAAGATCTTCAACAAACCTACGAGAGATGAACCCAAGTTGAATTGAAGGACCTTCTTCAGAATCGTTGTAGATGCATCAGAAAAGCCTATATTAAGCGTTTTACCATGTTTTACCTAAAGATCCAGCATAGGGATCACTTGGGGCCCACCCCAACGGGCACGGCCGGACCCAGCCCAAGTGGGACAAACAGAAGCATCGCCGAGCACAGCGATCTTCGCCGTCACATGTGCCTCGAGTCTTCCAGGCTCGTAGGGAGACGTTTGAAGTGCTGGTGGTTGACCTGAGGTTGGTTCTTTCCCAACAGCGAATTCGCTAATCAGGGGTCTTCAGGTACAGTAAAAACTTGGGAGCCATAGTAAAGGCATGTAAAGACCAAGAGGTGTTTGTTTCCTTGGTGATTTTGTTTGGTAGGTGAACCATGCATCCATTTTGTTGGGTTGGTTTGTAGCTCCCTGTCATGGCGCCACGCCTTATTCATGGCTCATTAGGTTAAGTTCAGGTATTTTGCTGATGTGACTTCTTTGGTGTACACTCTGGCTCACACGGTACACTCTGGCTGCGGCTCACATGGAAGTGGAGTTCACTCCCTGTTTCGTAATGGACGGCTTCCGTCTTCCTTTCAGGACCATGCCCTCCACGTAACCACGCGCTATGTCCGTCCTAACAGCGGCCCCAGGGGCCTCCAGGGCCGGCCGGCATAGGTTGCGGGGCGGCATATGGTGAATATCGTTTACAGAGCGGGTGCCTCGGTTTGGCTTAACCATGCTTAACCTGGTTTTACGGATCAGGTTGTTGTTATTGTCCATATGGTTAAATCCCCTGGCATATGGTTTCACCATAGGTTTGTCCAGGTTCCTGGACAGCTACATCATCACAAATCCAAGGCTAAACAAGGTGTTCTTTGGTGAGGTGCTGCAGACATTGATTCCCGGCACCCCATACCCAACACCCCATAGCAGTGATTCCCAGCATGGTGACGGGACTGTTGGAGGCCATGTGGTCCATGGGGTCCAGCTGACCCTTCACCGTCGGATGACCCTTCACCGTCAGTCTGGGGAGGGTGGCATTGGGGACACAGGACACCGGACCACCCCACCTTTCCAAGAACACGGGTGGTGGTGGAGGTTCACTTTCTTTCCAAACCTCTCCTCAGCCTCACGGGAGTCTTCCGCTTCAGACCTCTCCGTGGTTCCACGGCGTCAGCACTCGTCCAAGAACTCGTTCAGCTCGATGGATCCTGTCGGGTTTTGGGTCACATGGCTTCGGGTCCTGGTCGACGTGGTGGAAACACCCGTGTGGAGGACTAAGGCCATATTTATATGGATGACTAAAGATATATGATGAACATCCATTGAATAAGATCTCAAAACAAAGTACTCTGCGAAGCGCTCAGCTACCCCCCTCTTCGAAATGGCCTTATAATCGCTCTTCCAACGGCTGAACATGGTTTCCCCCGTGGACATACCGAACACGTTTTCTTCGCAATGCATCGAGACAGAACACCAGACCAAATATGTGTGGTAGACGTGTTTTTTGGTAGAAAAAAGGGGTAATGTGTGTTTTCCCAAAAGGGGTGAATCCGCTGGTATGGGGAATCTAATGTGGTTGTTTCTTTATGTTGTTAATCTGCGCGAATTATGACGTCACCAACGTCACCAAGCATTAACGACCCAGATTCTTTTGCCGGCTTCCCCGGCAGCAAATCCTAAGCAGATGGAGTCTCAAAGTAGCTTGGAAAATGAGTACAAGTATTAGAACCTGATTGACCCCCGTTTTGGATCCCAAATACACTATGTTCCTATCAAAACAGGGGTCATGTCTGGCTTCTAGGTAAATATATAGGTCCATGTCCCATGTTCTAAGTTACAAAGTTGGGTCCAAGTAAGTGGGTCAGACAGCTCCAGGCGCTCCATGTTCTTCCCCTGGTGCTGCAAGCCCTGGTCCGCCGAGAAGGCCAGCGCCATGCGTTTCTGGTGTGGAGGTGGTTGGGGAGGCCAGAGTACCAGAACACGACTTCGTTCGTACCTTCGAACAGATGACATGACCCTATAGAAGCTTGATGGTATCGGTACTTGTAGCCATTTTCCAGGTACGAACTGAGACTCCAGAGTAGCCGTGTCCAGCAGTGTGTTTGTTGGGTTTTTGATGTTTCTTTTTTTGCATCCTTTTGTTTAATTAGCATATCTCGAAGTCGGCTGCAGGTCATTTGGCCAGAAAAAGAAGCAAGCTGCTGATGGCAGGTGCAGTGGTTTCAGAGTAGACGGCGCTGGCACCCCAAGATGTTTTTTGTTTAAAAGGCGTCCATAGTAAGCACCTTTTGGGGATTGTGCCATCTACTCCGAAACCATTGTTAGTAACTGAAAGCTTCTTGTTCTTGTTCTGTTGACGTGGCAAAGTATCGCTTCTCAGTGCTCCAGCAGGAGGAAATCTAAAGTCTCCTTTCTAACGTGTGGCATGCAGTCATGTCTCTGAAGGAAACCATGTCCTGTTCTTTTGAGGCGAACGCGACGTCTTGTTATTTAACCCGTTGGTATCATGGAATTTCACACTGTGCCACCTGATGTTCCCCTTGGTTGGGCCGCCCAGATGTTCCCCTCAAAAACTTGAGACCTTCGACTTAGGGTTTTGCAGAACAAAAAGGATGAGATGTGTGTCATGTGTTCCTTTTCTCCGGTTCCTGGGGGAAACCCCATGTTTGAACTCAGACCGAGTGAATTCATCTACCAAATCCGTCTGGATTGAGACCTTGGGGGGGACCCTCTCGGCCTTACAAACCACTCCTTTCTCGAAGCTTTCTCCTTTCTTGTTGAGAAAGACGCGTGACTCATCGCATGCAGCCGAAGCTCTCGAAGCGACGTGACTTTTGACGGGTTGCCGAAGCGGGTCCGGTGGGAGCTTCGGCGGGCACAACGAAGCAACCAGTCGTTCCTGCTGATTCGTTGTTTGTGCAATCCCGTTGACAAGATCAAATGACTTGGAAGATATTCCCCAGTAATTAATACAGAGTGAGACAAAATTGAATGGACAAGATGATTTTCACGTGTAGCTGGCTCAATTTCCCTAGACTCCTTGCACTACTCCCGTGCTTTCTGATGGCGTGGACTTGGCGTGTAGCAAAGAAACTATGCGTTTTGTGTGCTGCTTGGTGGTGGAGTCCAGGCCTGCGGAATGCCATCATCATCCCTTTGTCTTCCTTGGAAGCTGCTAGAGATGTGGGGAAGGCCTCAGTCACTGCTGCTGCCTATGCTGGTTGCCCTCTTAGCACGATCACACCGCAACTTCGGGGTGGCATGCTGACAGCAGTGGCTCGAAATGTATCTCAAAAACTGTATCCAAATTCCGCAATCAAAGATCCTATTCCGGGACAGCGGTGTGATGGCAGCAAACGTGGGTTGTACTGTGCCGAATATGATTGGCTTCGCAATGGCAGAAGGGTACAGTGTAAGTCAGCTCAAATGGTGTGGGTCGAGTCATCCAAACACTGGCGGGTACAGTTCAAAAATATCAAGCTCTCATTGTTTGATGAATTGGTTTTGGTGTTCTACGGTCCTTCCGGGCTGCATTTTTTTTACTCATGACGGCCGCAGCGGGCTGCCAACTGGTGCTGCCAAGAGAGTTTGTGCTGGAGCATATTTGGGTTATTATGCTCCTAGAGGCCTTGAATGGAGAGAGGCAGAAGGTGCACTTCTCAACAAACTACAGCAGTTAGGTCAGTGCATAGCCCATCTCAAGACTTCAGATGATTTGGTGATTGAAGTTTTGCAGCAGCGCGCTCAGTCAGTTTCTTCGAAGCTCCAAGATGAAGCCTTTGCACAGCACCCATTCAACTCTTTCACACCCGCAGCGCGTAGCTTTTTGTTTCAGCGCGTGGTGCAAGAAGTAGTAGACTTGCTTAGGCATCCTAGCTCAGAGAGTTCCGCTTCAGGAGTCTCCAAATCACAAAAAGACTGGCACAGAGATGGTTTGCAAATCAAATGCAAGTCCGCGAGGCTAGCGTGGTCTGGAAATGGATGGAAGTGCAACTTTCATGCCCTGAGCTCCGGGACATTTGATATGTTTTATTTGGCACTGGATACACCAAGTGCATTGCACATTTTTCAATATGATTCGGCGAGTGGCAAGCCGAATGGGCTCTTTGGTCCTGCAAAGGCGACCAATGTTTCTGTTGCCGTGGAGGTGATGACTGAGAAGCTCTTGAGCTTGGGGAGCCAGCATGTGGCCTCCGTGGTGTGGACCTGAGGCGGTCGGGGTCAGGTCGGCTCGGAGAGCCGTCAACGGTCATGTCAGAAGGAGGATGAAGTCGCTGTCCTTTTCGAGCAGAAAGAGGACGAAGCTGCTACTCAAGGTGTGGACAACAAAATTGTGGATTTTGTGGTGTTTTGTAGACTTTGACAAATAACCACCATCATTTGAATTGGACATTATATG